TTACCAACGCATGCATCAGAAGAAATGCTGGATTTTAAACCCACAGTAAACTCAATATGACTCTACTTATATTCCCAAATCAAATATTATTTTCTGTCATGCTAAAAGAAATGTGTTCTTTATAATGAGGGAAGTGGAGGCTTCACTTTACTCTTAATTAGATGCAGTGAACCTTGGGTCAGATCATTCCTGAGGTTAGATTAAAAAAAAAAGAAAACATAGAAAAAGAGGAGAGTGTTGTCCCAGAGTAAACAAGAGGTTGAAGGAAAAACTGAGTGTCCAGAAGAAGAGTAGGCCAAGGGAAGCACAATGGTTGCTTTCACAGCTCTGAGAAGAGTGTTTATTCGAAAAGGCATTGGACGTATTTTATCAGTGGGTATAAACACACAGACGTTTTTCCTCATTGTGTTAGGGTTAGATTAAAAACAAACTGGGCTCCTCGTGAAATTGTACATTTTCCATCACTAGAACAATTTAAGAATATTCTATACCATAGGTGTGATCGGATCTATTAGTTTAGAATATAAATGTCTTAACACAACAATTAAGTAAACGAGATGAGGTATCCAGTGTGATGTAAGTGTTCCTAATTCCATATAAAATCAGCACATCGTACCACATAAATGCATTAATGTACAGCTGATCTATGTGTTTATGATTTAATTTAAAAAAAAGAATATTCTGGATAACTGCTCAGAGGATTTTTACTGTGGAGGAGTATATAGGTGGGATAAAAATTTTTAACAACCTATATTTTGAAATATTATGTTGTGTTATTAGGTAAGAAAGCACACTTATAGCTAACTTAGCATTTTTATCCTCTATTCAGACACTTCCATGTATATTTAAATGTTATATTTTAATCCAACTATGATATACACACAAGAGTGAGATTTTTAACTTTATAATTGGAATATATAGGGAATATTTCATTTGGGGTGGAAAATAAACAGCCATTGTTTGAGCATTTACACTGTTAATGTTCTTGCTAAAACTTCTCAGCAGTGTCTTTCTGTAAGTTCTCATTTGTTAGAGAAAAATCTCATAATTACATTTTACTTGGTATCTAAATAAATGATTCATTTCCTAGTGGGACATGTTTTTAAGATGCATGTATTAACCTCATGTGAGAGTTTATATATAAGTGGGGGGGGGGTTAAAAAATTCATTCTATTGGTAGATATTTTTCAAATCATTGTATGCCTAAAAACTGAAAGTACTTTTTTAACAAAATTAAACTTTAGTACTTGCAGAATCTTAAGTTGAGATTGTTTAAAATTGTTTAAAATGTTAACCCCCAGTGAAGGTTCTAACTTCCATAGTTCCCTTTATCAATTGTGAATAAATTTCCTGGCACCCAGTCAGCATCTTTAAGCCGTTTACTAGTGAGCCCCCTCACCTCTCTTCCGTGCCGTTATGTCTGACAGCCGTGTTAATATGTTGACAAATCAATCTATTCATTAATATTCAGCAGGCCTGCTGGAGCTGCAAGCCTCATAAACTGTTACAAACACAGTTTAATTATTGAAATGACAATTGTCTTTCCTTTGTTTTTCATACCATTGGATTTCTGGGTCTCATCCACCCAAGGCTTATTTTCAATAGGGTTATTTTTTGTTTTGAACAATATGCAGTGCAAGAGGGACCTACAGCTGGTTCCTTTTCATGGCAAAGTGCTGCTTCCAGCGTAAGTGTTTAGTGTTCTGGAACACTGTTGGATTTTGAAAACATACCATGTGGTAATGGCGCTAGGCTTTTATTTAGCTTTGCTTTGTGTTTGTACTGGCTGTATTTTCCAATCTCCAATTTCTGGGGGAAAAAAACACATTTGTGACCAATTTTATTTGAATCTACCAAATTGAATGGCAAAGAAAAAAATCCTTTTAAAATAAAATTTAGATGCTTTGATAAATTTAGTGGTGTATTATTCTAGCCATTCTATGTTTTGAGATACCATATATTCTATACTATACAGCTGAAGATTGAGACCAAGTGGAATAAATTACAGCTGCACTTATCAGGGAAGAGAAGAGACATCAATGTTACCGCTGAGGCTGTCAGGGCACACAAGTGGAAGAAACTGACATCATCAGTTATACCATCACAGTTTGATAATTTTGCACTAAAAACAAGCTTCAGAAATAATGCAAAGGCATTTCCTTATACATAGATGGTATGCCCAAGCTTCCTGTCTGATTTTAATTCTTGATGACACTAACTAACCATGTGACTCTGAACCTGAGCAGTAACAACACAGCAGGTGACTCGGGTTAGGTGCTTCTGCAGACTTCACCTGTGAACACAGAAAATGATCTTCTGCCTGCAGGGGTTGGGGGCTCGTTGTGAGACAATTTCCAAGGCTGCCTGTGTTGATTACTGCCTGCTTGCCTCCCTAATGACATATAGAGGAATATCAAAATTCAGAAGGAAAAAACCTTAGCAGCAGTTTCTCTCATGATCTTCATGCCCCTTTACTAACCATCCTCGGATTTACTGGGCATCTCTAATTGAACACATCAGTTCAATTTGATAATGGAAATGTACTGTTACTCTAACAAATGTTTTCCGATCCACCACTGCAGTTTGTCATCGCTCTCCTGGTGAAAGGACTTGAGCAGAAGCAAATTACATCTCGCTTCACCAACTACACAATCCACATCACTCAGTTACCTGTGTCACTTTTTTTTTCCTGTAAGAATAAACTCTAGGGAAAACAAAAGCTGTATAATCAAGTCGTCCACAGGAAGAATCATTTACGATGTGTGTTATGATTCTCAGCAGATAAAGGAAGGCAGGAAAACAGAACTCATTTGACTTTCACACTTGAAAATTCTCTTTTGTGTGGACATGATAGGTTTAGAGATTGAAGATTACATCTTCCGTGCAGCCACACCACCGTGATTGGAAAGGAACTATAACCATATAACCCTATGACCCTATAGCTGTTCAGGGAAGATACTATATATGTAAATATCTTAACTATATAGTTTATTTCAAATCTTAGACAATTTTTAGACCATGCATGGAAAAATTATAGTTATTCCTGGATCTTCCACTCTGTGCTCTTTTGCTTATTTGTATTATTATTATTTACAAAATTTATTGTATGTATCTAATAAAAGCACTGAATCAGGAAGACGAGTTCAAAAGGAAAAATTAAAACCTCTGAGGTCTCTATCAGACCTGCTATCCAGAGAATACCTACTTTAACTATTTAAAAACTTCGTTCTGACTACCTCCATGCCTCTAGATAACAAAGGAAGTTATCTTTCATGCTTGTTGATTAACTCTAAACCAGCGCTACTCAAAGTGGTCTATGGATCCATGCCAGTCTGTGGACGGTTTTATTATCAGAGAACGTTTATTAAGTAAGACTAAGTCTCTGGAAACTTTTATAGTTATTTCACATTTTTATTATATTTTTACAAAGTACTGGTCCATATGTTTAGATTAAAATAAACTAGTCCTTTAGAATTTGAGAAGGACCACTTTGAAAAAATGTGATCCCTTCCATTAAATAGGATCATAAATCAATTTGCTTCAGGTTTTCTCTACCTTTTATTGTCTTCCTCCTTCTCTAAGTTTAGGTACTAAATTGTTGTACTGGTCATCTTTGTAACTTACAACAGTGCCTGACATACAATATGGAAGATATGTACGTATGTATCTGTCTATCTTTGAAATGTATGCATAATATATTTGACATGTATTCAAAATTTTTACTTTTAATGATTAAATTATATATTAAATGATATACAGAAACATATATAACACCACCTGTTCACCTGGGCAGAATCCCATCAGCAGTTCCAGGGAAGTTAGGGCTCTACCAGCGCTCACCTGTTTTTTGCCCTCCTTCTTCCCAGTGTTATGGGGGGTTCATTACCTACATTCCTTTGTGTAATTATAATTAAACCAGACATGTCTGGTTGAGAGGTGATGCAAAACTTAAAGTTAATAAGCAATATTTTGAATAGTTTACATATTATTATTAACTGGTAAACTCTAGCTAAGGACCCATGTGCCCTTTAATCTGGAACCCATATCTCTAAGCCTGTGCCCACTACAAAGGGAATTTAAGTGTTAAAAGGGATTCTCTTTTCCTACATTCCTTTCATTGTTCAAAATCATGACAGATACGTTAGTTGCTTCTTTATTATATATAACTTTACTATACAATAAACTGTCCTTCCGTGGAATTTATATATCTTTTCTTCTTTCTTCTTGGCAAAAGAGGCATGTGCTTCTTTTCCTATCCTCACTATTTTAATGGCCCTTTGTATTAAAATACATTTGACATTTTGAACAAATTACATGTCTTATTATATATCTGTTAAAGATGATGTGGACGCAAAAAGGATGTTGCATCCTTAGGAAGGAGAGAGGAATTTTGTTGTTTCCATACATTTCAAAATCACAAACTTAATTAAAATATTTTAGAGCACTCTCAGCTTTCAGCAGATCTGGCCTCTAGAGTAGCATTTTTAAAAGGGTAACCCATAGCCTTACATCCCCAGTGCAGGATGGCAGTTTATGGGGGACGGGCTGGGGAAATCTCTATTTTCAAGTAGCTTCCCTGGTTAACTGTTGGCATGCCAAATGTTGAAATATGCCTGTTATAGATCTATAGCTAGTCCGTAATAGGTTGTTTAAAATAAGTCATTATCAAAGAGGTTGTTCGGTAAAATTATTAGGAATTTCTTACCTTACAAATATTCCTGTTTTGACTGGTAGGTAGTTTCTTGTTCCCATTTCTAAGCTCTACACCCCTGGCACCTGCTTCTTAAGGCAGAGAATGAATCTCCTGTGTACTTTTTTGAGTCTCTGGCAGTCTTTGGGATTCACCTTATGTTGTACAACATGAAAAAAGCATGGAAGATATCCATTCTCTCTCGTTCTTATTTTAAAAAATGCAATGAAAGAAGAGGCATACTGGTAACTGACTAAGTAAGGGTCAATTTTTATTAGTTTTATCTGGTCACCTTTTTTTTTTTTTTTAATGTAAGACAGGTAACCTGCCAAAATCATAACAAAATTAATGAAGGAACGTCTCATGCATGTTCATGAAAACCCAGTCATAATGCTTATGAACTACAATGGATCTTATCCAGTCATCTAAAAAGAAATTTTAGTGACATTGGGCTGCCTTTCCATAAGAGGAAGTAAATGTGCCTAATCAAATAAATATTTTAAAATGGGTGCACAAGTCCTTTCAAGGAACTGAGACAGGGAATAGGATGAATATGCTGAGTGCTTAGCCTTAAACAGTATAAGATAAAGTTGGAGATGAGAGTGAGGCCATGTCTAATTACTGTCGGTGACTGAAGGGCAATTCAGGCTGCAGTGTCTTATTTGTATACCTGCATTCTTACAGAGTTCTACTGTATAACTATATATGTATATATGTATTTTGTTATATATCATTTTATAATATATATTTTTAGTTTTATTTTAAAATAATTTGTATCACTATATTAACTAAAGTTAAACAGGTAAATATAGTTAAATAACCTTATGCACAATTATAGTTATACATGTGTACACACATATATAAAAACTAAATAATACATACAGATAGACAGGATAGACAGCTTTGTAAAGTAACTGGGAAACAGAAAATGATCAACACATTTGAGCTAATATAGTTATGCCAATCACTGTGCCAAGCCTTTCCAGCACACTCTCACATAATACAATACCCCAGTGGGGCAAGAATTACTGTCACCATATTTCAGAAAAGAAAACTGAGACCTAAGACAATGAGTAGGATGAGGTCACTGAGATACAAACTTGTACAGTTCTCGACTCAGTTATTAGAATATGATCCTGCTTAATAATCTCTTCTTGAGGTTATCAAAAATTGTGTTGCTACCTCTATGCTAGTGAAATCACTTCAAGTATTTAATGTGACAGGGTGGTTGAATCCATCACAAACATAATCAACAGGCTGTAAATTAGGTAGAAAGCATCTACTTTGGAGCTAGGTGACAGGATTTGCACCCTGGCCCTAGCCTGATGAGCCACTTAACTCTCTGTATGTGCCTTACTTCATCTTTAAAATGGAAGCAAAAAAATATCTACTAAAAGATTGGGGACAATTAAGTGAATTCATATATATAAAATGTTCAGAGTAGGGCCTGGCCTCAGGGCAAATGCTGTCCAAGTGTTAACGATTAATATTTTTTTCTTTCAAAATTTAATTTTACCATCTCTAATTTACTGCTAATATCATTTGCTAAGTTAAGTTTTCCTAAAATTCTCTATTATTTTTTCACATCATACCTTGCGTCTCTCAAACACACACACACACACACACACACACAATCTATTTTTATAAGGGACATCTGCTCACGCTTTGTGTTTGTCTTTATCCCAGCATCTTTGCCTTGCAGGACTTCCCTCTCCCACCTGGAGGTGCTCCTCATCATTCATCTAACCAATCAGAGCCCGGCTCCTGGGGCTGGGCTTAATTGTTCCCAAGGTATTATGGGACGTAAACGTAGGCAATCAGTGCTCCTTTAGCAGACTGCAGCTACCGAGAGATGATCCCTCCGCCAGTCTAAATCATGCCCAGTAAGTAGCACGTCAGCCTGCAGCTGCTGCGAGATCACTTTTTGCCACACGAGGAGTCTGCCTGAGAAGGACGTTAGCCTGAAGTAAGACGGAGCTGAGGGTTGGAAAAACGTGTTAACGCTAGATCTTCAAGATCCAGCTGAATCTGAGTTTTACCTTTTGGACTTCTTAGTTCTGTGAGTCAATACATTATCTAAGATGCCTACGTTAGTAAGAAATAGGTTTCTGTTATTTAAACACAAGAATCCTGATTAATTCACTGATAAATTATTAGTAAGCATATCTCCACAATTCCAGCATTCATTATATTTATCCTAATAAGAATAATTAATGAGAATACAGTATTTCTAAATGTTCCTTAATATTGAGCCGTAAGAAATAAGCACCTTTTAATATAAACGATATTCAGTGTAAAGAATGGAGACAAACGACTTCAAGTCCAAGCCCTTGATTTCGAAGTATGGCCATACAGGCGACTCTAAACCTAAGAAAATTACTTATCAGAGCTTCAAGCAGCACATATTGGGTCTGTATCTGTACTAACATGAAAAATACACGGTGAAGGAATGTTTCATTCTGACACGTCCAGGCATGTTATAAAGACTTTCTAATATTTATTTTTGACTTTTCACGCAAAGAAAAAAAAAAATCACAACAACCAACTCGTCCAAAGAACACTGGGGAAACATGCACAGAATTTCTAAAATCTCGTAATCAACATTGGTTACCAGACAGGGCAAGTGCTTAGCTTAGTGTTCTGGGGTCCTCTTCCTAATGCAAACCTTTGGCTCCCCCCCACCCCGGACTTTATAGATGTCTTTCACATTATTTATCTCATTTGGTCTTTATTACAACCTTATTTATCATGTAGGCAAGAATCATGACCACATTTTACAGATGAGGACCTAGAGCTGGAGGGAGGTAGGTGATGACTCATTAGGATGGCTAGGAGGACGGTATCTCAAACTGCTTTACCTTTGACCCTTATCTTTGACTTCATGAGTCATGGAAGTGCCCAGATTTTTATTTCCCTCTATCTGGATTCTGAGTGTTTCTAGTATAGTATAAAGTATGCTTGAAACTAAAAACTGACCTTGTATCAGTTGTGACTACCTCTTACCAGATTCTAGTTTTGCTTGTGTATTTGTCAGATCCTACATGCTTAAAATTATTCAGTAACAACTCCATTGTAACTTCATTTTTATTTTTATTTATTTTATTATTATTATTTCTTTTTTGTAGAGACAGAGTCTCACTTTGTCACCCTCAGTAGAATGCGGTGGCATCATAGCTCACAGCAACCTCCAGCTCTTGGGCTTAGCCGATTCTCTTGCCTCAGCCTCCCGAGTAGCTGGGACTACAGGTGCCCACCACAACACCTGGCTACTTTTTGTCGCAGTTTGGCCGGGCTGGGTTTGAACCTGCCACCCTCGGTATATGGGGACAGGGCACTACCCACTGAGCCACAGGCACCACCCTCCATTGTAACTTCTAATGAGAGAACTCTGTGTTCTCAGCAAGTTAATGAGATAGAACCTAGGCCAGGCTGCTTTTGTGATACCTCAGCTGACATTAAAACATAATTTAACTAACTTTTTTCTACATTCAAGCGTAAGTTCTGTTCACATACCAGCAGTTAGAAAACTCATTTGCCATCCAGAGCTGCAGTTAGCAAATATTATATAATTCCTGTGCCTGGAATGAAAGGATATGGCAGAAGGAAGTACTGAGAAGAGAAGCTGGTTAATTCCCAAATGGATACTCAGTCATTGGGAAAGTGAGGATTTGGTTCCATGTTCCACCTGAGTGGTCACTGTACCGTTTTGTCTGAGTGGTAGGAAATATTTGCTACTTAGGTGTTTCTATAGGCAAGTAAAATACATACTTCCTATTAAAATATAAATGTTTTCTGAATTATCCTGTACAATGTCCTCTTGCTATAACTCTTCCTTCTCATTTTTTGGCGACTGGCCTAAATTCTGTCTCCTCTGAACATATAATTCTGATTAGTCAAGTCCACAGCAATTTGCCCTCCTCTGAACTTGGAGACCTTGGTTTTATACCCACTTAACAACTCAAGGAGATACATTATTGTTTTTCCCACTTCATAGAATTCCCAATCTCCCCAACGAGTTGCCAATTTCTTTAAAGGACATTTACGTTCTGTCCTCTACTTTTGTATTACATATAATATTGTGATCTCCCAACAACTATTTCTTGAGCCTTTAATATTTATGCCTCTGGTCTCTATTGCCAGTAATAATTAAGGATCCACAATCTATAACTGTTTATTTCTGGCCTAAATAGGCCATATGTTGTACCTAAATAAGTTAAAGCCATATAAGAGGGCATAATTTGCATAACACAGAGGGGGTATCGTTTGTCCCATTACTCTCCCCCAAATTTTAAAGCATGAAGATTATTCCCTATTCCTGTATAACAAGGCAGTGTCTGAGTGGCTTCAGGGATATTCCAGATTTGTGATCTAGTATCATCATCAAGTTATTTTACAGTGTATCTGGATAAGAAATATCAAACATAATAGCTAATTCTAGAGGTAATGTTTCCTAACAAGGGCACTGATCCCAAGGTTATTTGATAATTCTTTCTTTTCTGTCTCCTGGAAGAGAACAATAATTGCACTGTTTTTGTCTTTATTGAATTATCACAAACACTTAATTATTCCTTTGATATACATGACAGTTCTTTTGTAGGCCACAGATTCCTTTAAGATATGTCCATCTAGCTATGATTCGCACCTAATGAGAGGATGTTAAGTGCTGTTTCTAATGGTAACTTACACCCCTGATAATGCATAACTCTGGCTCCTTAATACTAACAGTAGTGCAAGAACTGAATTCACCTCAGACAGCCTCTATACACTCTTCTCCCATTTCTATGCGTTTCTTTTCCCAACAAAAGTAATTAACAGGTAGCAAATAAGAGATCCTTATCTACAAATGGATTAGTCTTTTCAAGTGGTGAAAACATGAACAGAATGATCGTAGCAGTAGGTATCGCTTGTAAACAAGAAAAGAAGTGGACTAGTGGCAAAAGGATGTGTGCCCAGACTGAGTATGACCTTTGGCCCTGCCACATACTAGCTCCCTGAGTTTGATGGGTGGTATGACTTCTCAGGCTCGGGTTTTGTCACTTGAAACATAGTTATAATGATCAAACTCATGGGATTTTGATGAGAATTAGATACCCTCCCAAGTATGTTCACTGAGGAGCTCCTTTCTGAATCACTGAATGAATCATTTTCTCTCCCCTTTTAGCTCAAACCCTTTCTTTTGAAACCATTTCTTTTAAGACAAAGGAAATATTTATTAAGAAGAATATAACTTTAAACCATGCAATATTGCCAAGGCAATCTCTCTTAAAGAACTCATCTGAGATACATACTGGAATTGTACATAAGGATATTCTAACCCTCAGCAAATAGAAACAACACGAAAATTCCAGGGAAATGGACAAATAAAACAGTATATATACTGTAATGTCACACAAAAGAAATCAATAGACAAAGAACTTGGTATACTAATATGTGTAATATGATAATTAAACTATGGATGTTGTAAAGTTCTCATGTTGATAATGGTTAGAAAGTGTTTAACACAGAACCAGCCACATGATAAATAAGCCCTGACTAAAAGATTCATTATAAATCTTTATAAGTTCTAAGGAAATATATCACAATATGAACAACTTCTTCCTGGTTGTTTCATTTACCTCTTAATATGTTTTCCCGACTTTCTCATTTCTGTGCATATAACCCAACCCAATCAATGTGTGACTTTGTGCCTCCACTTTGATGGGCACTTTACAATGTGCGTTTATCCACTTAAAGATGCACAATTACATTAAGAGCACAGCACTTAAGGACTGAACCATTATTTTTGAACGGAAGATGTTACCTTCATGAGAGATCTCCTTCCAGGGATTTGGTGGATACATGAAGGCTGCATTCTGGATTTGGTCATGGATGTCTTCATCTTCATTAAACGGGAATGTGCCACTGAGGCTGACGTAGATGATGACCCCCACAGACCACATGTCCAGAGATCGATTGTAGCCCTTGTTCCTTAGAACCTCGGGAGCCAGGTAAGCGGGGGTGCCCACCACCGACCTCCGGAAAGACTTCTCACCAATGATCCGGGCAAAACCAAAATCACAAAGTTTCACCTGTTGACGAAAGGATTTGTAGAAATAGTGAGTTTGCAAATGTGCGTGTTAGTGCAGGTCTGCCTGCCACGATCCTAATACTTTACGTGGATTTCTCCTGGTAGAAATAATAACTATTTTCTGTTTTATATACTTGAAGACAGTGGTTTATGTGCTGATAAAAAAGTACATTTTCATTCATAAAACTATCACCTAAACACTCTCTTTTCCCCCAGCCCCCAAATCAAGAGACAGATATAAAAATTAGTGTACTCTGAAGTAGGTAATACTGTTTATGAGGCAGGAACACATTATGCAAATCAGGGAAGAGTAATGAAGGACAAGTTGGGAGATGTGTTAGGTCATCCACAGTAATCCTCAAAGTCAGCTCTGCACTGGCACACAGGCAGGACCTGAAGGTGTCAGGGAAGTGAGGCAGGGCAGCCAACTTGGTCAGGTCCCTTCGAATCTCCCTGGGGAGAGATCTGGTTGTTTTTCACCCTCTGAGTTAAGAAAAGGAGGAAAGGTTTTGCCCTTGTCTTTGAAAACAATAGTGAAGTTTAATGTCTTCACCAACACTAGCGAGCGGGCAGCATCTCTGAAACTCCTAAGTGCTGTTCATCTCGGGCCAGTGCTGCCAGGTTTAAAGAAGCAGAATGAGAAGGCACCTTGTGATGGTTAAAGCAGGCTGAAGGGAGACGCCAGAGTGACAAGCCTCAGCCCTGAAAACGGAAGAGGGCAATAAATGGATGCAGACAAGTAGGGAAACCTTGAAACATATAAAAGTTTAAAGGCAACAAGGGGAGGTGACAGGATGCTGCACAGAGCCAGTGATGCTGTCAGCTGGCTTTTTGCACAGAGAGGTTTTTATACTTGCCTGAGGAAAAGGATCAGCTGATGCTAGCAACACATTTTCTGGTTTGAGGTCACAGTGAACGATATTTTTAAAATGAAGATGCCGCAAAGCCACAAGTATCTATAAAGGATAAAATCACCAAAATAATTTCACATCGGTCTATTAGTGTATTTCAAAATGTTTTCTACCAGGAAATAAATGTAAAAGGGCAGGAGAAAACCCACAAGCAGCAACCTTTCAGTGTCCTCAACCTTTATGTTGAGGACACTGAAATGAGCTAGAGGAACACAGCAGGTTTCTAAGGAAACTTCAATGGTACAAGTGGCGTATTATGGTTTTCACGCAGGAACCAAGACAGGTGTAAATAAGGGACCCACAATGTCTCACATAGACACCCATTCTTAAATATTTTCAGAGACCCAGGATTATACTAATGTAACTTTTAAAGTTTCATGGGTAGTTTTAATCCATGGACCTGCACACCAGTTACTAGTTGGTATATTAGACTCTGAATAACCTAGACGCAAACCACAAAATACAGTAGGCACTGCAGCCTTTTCTCGTATAGTTTAGACTGGAAGCAGGGACTAAACAACAAGGCTAGGAAGGTGTAGTTAAACAGTGATAACATTTGATATTAAATATTATCTTTTTTCTGTCTCTAATTGATTTCTTACCTGGGTAATTAAAAACTTCGTTATGTGCTCTGGCAACCTGCCCTTTTCACTTGACAAGATCATCTCTAGCATGTCTCCATGGAGTTTTTCCATAACAACAAACACTCTTTCAGGCGTCTCAAACATACACTCCAAATTTACAACACCAGGGTGATGAAGGTTCTATTAAAGATAAATAAAGCACTTGAAGAAAATGAGTTTTTTCATACTGTTTGGCAAGCTTGCTGATTATACAAACTGTGCAAGCTTAAAGCTACGGGGAAATTCACATGTAAGATTTTTAACACCTTTATGTTCCACAAGTGCTGCCTTATATTTCTGAAACTCTTATATCTCTAAGAAATACCTCTTTACTTTCCAAGCATAATAAAATTATTTCTATACTCGAAATCCAAGTTCCAGCACAGTGAATTAATAATTAGGTCTTGATTAGATTACCATATTGTGGAATCTGTAATTTCTTAGGATCATCCCCAATCATAAACATACTACCCTAAATAAGCATACTGCGCTATTTCTACACGGTTGGTGGAAATCTAATGTGGTAAAGATGAAAGTCTTATCTATAGTGCATCTGACTGCATCGGAGAAGCATCTTAGTCAAAACCTTTTAGAACTGCTCTGCAGCTGGAGGCTGCAGTAGTTTGTTCAGAAGCTCTTACCGTAAGGGAAGCTCATCATGAAAACAGCAAAAAAGAATCACTGGGCCCCTGTCCAGGACACCGTGTTATGTGGTCATCTCACATGACTCGTAAGCACTTAATAAATACACCTGACCTGTGAACAACATGGGCTTTTTCTGAGGGGTCTGCTTATATGCAGATTTTTTTCAGTAAATACAGTTGGCCTGTAGTATTGGCTTCTGCAACCAAATGAGAATGGAGAATAACAGTACTGTATGTTGCCATAAGGGTCTCACAGAAAAGTGATGTCGTGGAGAATAAGCACGCTTATTGAAGTTGTGTTTTAAATAAAGGTGACCATCTGCTCGCTCAGGCAAAATGGCGAGCTTCTTTATTTGTGGTTGATTTATATAGGGAATTTTGTACATGTGCACAATACAGCAATGACCTCATTGATCCATTTAAACATCATGTGACTACCTTGTGATTAGCTTCCGATAATCCACTCAACATACACCTTTTGACATAACCCTTTCAACATAACCCAATTTAACATAACTTAATGGAGAACATGTTGTTAGCCATTACTTCTTTGTTCTTATCTGATGATGCCTGAGGCTACGGAGGAACAAGGTAGATTGAATACCTGCCCTTGCTGGCCTTACCATTTGGAGGCTGTTACTTCGGATCTTTAAATAAGGCACAAAGAAACTTCTTGGGCATACAGAAATTTGTGTGCAAACCTCTGCTCCCATATGGGCCTTAAGTTAGAGGGTTTTTGCTGGAACATTCTATAAGGAATTTTCAGGCTGGACTTCTCAAAAGCCTTTCATGAGCCCAGGTTTCATTTGTGCCATTAGATACCTGTATGCATTAGGTAAATTCCTCTTCTCTTGAGATCCCCGAGCACATTTCTATTCCCAGACCTGTCAGTAAGTCACCTTCACTACTTACCATAGATCAGGAAAGGTTACTGATGAGTATCTGGCCAGTTTTCCAAAGGGCTTTTTTATTGGCCTTATTAATTCCTTCATTCAGTCTGCACATCTCTGGAAATACTATTCCAGCCAAAGCCTTGGTCATGTTAGGCTCACAACCAACCAGGCCACATGGGATTCTGCCTCAGTTTCTTACAAGTATTCTCACACAAAGTCTTTTCACTGCTCTCTCTCAAATGGCTTTTTTGACCAGAGGCATATAGGCATTTCACCTATAACTATTTGCAAAGTGGGAAAACCTGAGATGTCAACCCCCCATGGATATCAAGATGCGACTGTATTTCTATAATGAAGTCATGCCTAGTAATGGTATGCTGCATTTTGCTTGACATGTTTGTTGTCATAAATGTCAAATATAATCACTCTTAGCATTAGCTAGCCCCTCATAATAAGCCTTAAATCTGAGTGTTGTTCTAAGTTATCAACAAAAGCCTGTGTTCATTTGACCTTTTTTCCCCTTTCTGTACAACAAAAAAATCCTAACATTAGAAAAGGAATTTTACATTCCACTTATATTTCAATGAGAAATAAGAAAAAAAAGTCATAATGAACAAAAAGAATCTAAACAAAAAAAAGGAAGGACAAACTTAAATGTGCTAACAGCTGAATAAAGAAAAAAAATGTTCTTTAAAAAATTTGTTTTAGAAATCTCAGTGAGCGATAAAACTGTTGGTATATTGAGATTGAAAACCATAAATGGCCCATGCTTCAGCAGCTTCACAGACGTTGCTGGGTGGCAAGCAGAAGGGGCTGTTGGGTCTATTTTTTCGTAGTTGTCCTCTGCACAGAAAGCCTGGAGTCACCCAGATAGACAGCCATGCTACTTTTGGCAGGAGCTCTCGTGATAACCATCTCTTCTGGTGTCTGTTCACTGTTTGGCCATTTGCGTCTGTATCTGATTCTGACATCTGATGGGTCTCCTTTATTCTGATGATGGGGACCCAGTCATGCAGTGTTATGTGGTCATGGAATAGCAATTTTACAAAGGGCATCTGAGCACACACCTGCATATCCACCCAATAGTTTTGCACCTCTACATGACCAGAGTCATTGTTCTTGCACTATTTATTGGTCAAGCCTGGCTACTTCACACACACTCCAGGGTTGTTCTCTCTTGCTCACATCTGAGGCACACGAGAACAGGGTGGAGTTGACACAGCTCACACTACCACTATTTGTTATGACTACCTGCAAGTAAGATCAGGGAGCCTGATGGCTTTGAACATTATGGAAGTTCCAGACCCTCAGGTGGCAGACTAATGTGACTGCACATACCTGTTTTGACATGTGCCATGGAATGTAAGTGATAGTATTATTCATGCCAGAACCTGTGCCCAAGACTACCTCATTTTCTTCTTTAAAAAATCTCTATCCCTTATCTGTTTGGCAGTCACACTGACTGGACATGACACTGGCCTCTGGGTGTCCAAAGATCTCAGTTGTCCTTTTTCAAATCGATAATCATAGTAGAAGCTTTAGGGGTTGAGAGAATCTTGCTGGGGTTGTGGTCCTCCTGAGACAAGTCTACTAGAAGATGTGCTAAGTATACCTTTCTCTCTGAACACCTCTTTACTAGATTCTTTTTTTCTATTTGATCTGATTTTAATCACTTATACAGTGCTCTGGGAAGTTTGGCTTCCTTGAATGGCCAGGGTCTGGCTGTCTGGGTGGGCAGCAGAAACAATGAATGGGAAAGGAACAGACCAATTGATGTAGACAGCAAGGACAGGGGTGTAGGTAGAGGAAAAATTAGTATGAAGGAGGAGATAAGGGTTAAAGGAGGGTGACCTTGGGAGCCAGGGGAGGGGAGGGGAAGACGTGTTGTGTTAGCCTGCTGCTTCTGCTGACCTCATCTTAGGCCCCGAAGGTTAGAGGAGAGGGGAGAATTAGCAGATGATTAGGAAGCTCTCCTACCTAAATTATCTGAATATGAGTATATGCAGGGTCAATCCTCTTGTGTGTCTACCTGTAGTCCACTAAGTTCATGAATTCTTAGAGTCACTGAGGTCCTTCACTCAATATATTCCTTTGTCCTTTCCCCCGTTTCCACAACAGATCTTGAGGAGCCCTATACAAAGGGCAGAACTTTAATATTTGTTTATCTAATTGGTGCATTTCCACAATATCCTAGGCTAAAAGTATGGGACAGATTAATAAGAACATTCAATGTCGACTGTTTTGTGCCATGTTTATGGTAAGTTCTGAAGGACTCTACAAATGTCCTCTGACAGCATCTTTATGATAAGGCTAAGGGAAAATTTTGATTTTCCACAATAAAGGACTTTGAGTACGGCTGGGTATGTGGATTTAAAAAAAAATACATACTCAATAAAAGCATTGGACTCAAGGCCAAGTATACACAAATTATAAAAAATGTTTTGGAAAAGTTTAAACTGATACATTCTTTTATACTTGACCTTTGCTTTTTAATGAAATCTTTATGCTTTATAATTTTCCTACATTGAGTGACTACTGATAAATCTTGCGTGGTTGAAACAAGGCCATCATAGATACTTACTCATGAACTGTAATTTTTTTTTTTGCATTGAACCAAATGACCAAACTTGTTTTTACATTTAACAATAACAAAAGAAAATAAAAGAGAATATAGAGAATCACGCCTTATTTATCCAAACTCCCTGCGCTATCCTGATGAGAAGCAGGTCTTTAGCCTAGAGAATACATTTAAGGAATAAAAATAAAAGAAAGTTCACTCTACTACTCTTCTATTTTCATGTATAATTTATATGATCATTTTTAATACCTTAAGAATAACTTTAAGATTAGTTTCAACCAAGATGGTCCACATGACTTCTCATTTTATAAAGTTTTAATTTTTCATATAAAATATGAAATAGCATTTTAACCTTTTCCTCCTCATGTCAAAAGTAATAGAATTAATTAAAAAAATAGCAAGAAGACCACAACATCAACTATGGCATAGTGTGTGCAAAAAGAATTTTTGCTAACTTCTCAGACTTCCCTCAGAAAATCAGATAAATTTCATAGCAGAGCAAGCTACTACAGGACTCTCTGGCCATCTGTTTGTTGCATTTAAGTAATTTCATTTTCAGGAAATGAAACATTTGGCCAAGTAAAGGAAAAAATAGTGTCCATTCACACATAACAGATTGATGACATATCCATAGGGTGAATAAAAATTGTTTCAAAGCCTGGGAGGAAGTATCATTCAGAGATCAAGACAAAAACTTTCCTGACCCAAGCTGCCTAGAAAACTTTATTTCAATTGATTAATGGAAACTAGTCACTAGAAGCAAAGGCCTTTATAAAAGTAATAATATTTTATTAAGAAAATAATTATTTCTGATTTTTTATTTATATGTGCATTCTGGTTTATATTTTTGTATTTGTGTTAAATGATATTCTTGAATACTGATATATAATTACTTATATCCTCTCGTCTTAATTGTGCTGCTTCACTGTAAGTCTGGAGTTAAGAATTTATTCTGTATCTTGTATATAGTTGTGATAAATTAAAGTTGTCACATTTTCCCCTTCTTTCTTCCATCTTCTACCTTTA